CCGTACCAGACCGGGACCGGCCACGGGATCGCAACCCTTGGTGTTGCTCCCGCACCTCGCTCAGCCAGTGAGCGGCTGGTCTGTATGTGGGATCCGAACCCTCGGTGGGAGCGCCGCCGCGCTTCCCAAGCGGTGCACTGTAGCAGTGCGCCACCGGGCCGGCCCTGACCTTTGTATATTTTGGATAATACTCCTTTATCGGATATGCCTTTTGTAAGTATTTCCTCTCAATCTGTGGCTTGCCTTTTCAGTCTCTTCACAGTGTCTTTTTCAGAGCAGAAATTTTAAATTTTTTTTTTTTTTTAAAGATGACCGGTAAGGGGATCTCAGCCCTTGGCTTGGTGTTGTCAGCAAGTGAGCAAACCGGCCATCCCTATATAGGATCCGAACCCGCGGCCTTGGTGTTATTAGCACCGCACTCTACCGAGTGAGCCACAGGCCAGCCCAGAAATTTTAAATTTTAATGAGTGTAGCTTACCAATTCTTTCTTTGGTGTTGTATCTAAAAAGTCATCACCAAATCTAAGGTCATCTAGATTTTCTCCTGTGTTATCTATCTAGGAGTTTTATAATTTTGCATCTTACATTTATGTCTGTGATCCATTTTGAATTAATTTTTGTGAAGAGTGTTAAGTATGTATCTAGATTCATTTTTGTGTGTGTGGCTGTCCAACTCCTCCAGTGCCATCTGGCGAAAAGATTGCCTTTGCTCCATTGTCACACAGAGCAATAGCCTTTGCTCCTTTGTCAAAAGCTAGTTGAGGGGCTGGCCGGTTGGTTAAAGTGCAGTGTTGATGTTGTGGAACGATCTTGGCAAGAAAGCTCCAGACACTCGGGGAGTTGGAGAGTCAGAAGTTTTATTACGTGCGGGACTCAGGTGGACTTACATCCTGAAAACCTGAGACCCTGAATATGAGTTTGACAGGGTATTTATAGGCAATAAACTTAGGTTTAATCTTGTATCTTGGACTAACAGCTGTTGATTTTAGTTTTTCCTTACTTATGTGACTTAGGTGAACAGGCAAAATTAGAAAGACAAGCGGGGCAAGCTAGCGATATTACAGAAGCAGAAATGCCTGTATGCAGTTGATTATTAACTAGGCTGAGTCCCAGGGGCCCTGGGAAATAAGCACATTTAGTTACAGAGGCATTTTACAAGTCAGAATTGAATTTTTGAATTTTTCCTTATTATTGATACCACCAAGGTCAAGGGTTTGGATCTCTGTGCTGGCCAAAAATAACCAACCAAACAAAAAACTCAGTTGACTATACTTAGGTGTGTCTATTTCTGGACTTTTCATTATGTTTTATTTTTCTCTTTGTTCCTTCACCAATGCCACACTGTAGCTTTATTTACAGTAAGTCTGAAGTTGGGTAGTATCTTCAGCTCTGTTCCCTTTCAATATTGTGTTGGCTGTTGTGGGTCTCAGGTCCTCAATATGTTGTGTTGCTTTTTTCTTTTTTTTTGGCAGCTGGCCAGTACAGAGATTTGAACCCTTGACCTTGGTGTTGTAACACCATGCTCTAACCAACCAAGTGAACCAGCCAGCCCCTGGGTCTTCAGTTTTTAAGAGTGTAAAGGGGGGTCCTGAGGCCAAAAAGTTGGAGAACTGCTATTGTAGAGAAAGATGGATATACACACCGATGGGCATAATGATTCTGTGCTATGAAAAGGATACAGTGTAGGGGAGGGGAGCCTGCATTGAGTTTTGAATATTCCACTGCATTGTTCTGGCGGCTGAGGGAACCTGTCGCTTTAGGTCACATATCTAGGAGTCCAAAATTAGATGCTGTGTGACACAGACATGAGCTTGGTCTCAGGAGGGAATCCCAGAGGGGCACAGAACACAACATGAGGGCACAGGACATGAAGCATAGACCTCCCTTGGGACTAGAGAACATGGTAGATTAGGGTAGTTTGAAATTGGTTCTTCTAATTTTCTGAAAGATGGGTCTTGATTATTAGGGTTGTGCGTGTAAATCAAATACTATGCCTCTTCTTCAGAATTAAAACTTGTTAAATCCCAAGGGAATCATGTTGAAAGGGGAACAGTCATGTCTTACACTGCTCACCTAACACCTTTGATGTTTGCTAGAAACACAGGCAGAGGGGAAAATGGAGGCTTTGGTCCCCAAACCCAGTATTAAAAAAAAAATCCCCAGTCAGGGGCCGGCCCGGTGGTGCACTGGATAGTGCGCCGCTTGGGAAGCGTGGCGGCGCTCCCACCCGAGGGTTCGGATCCCACGTACAGACCGGTTCCCGCTCACTGGCTGAGCGAGGCGCGGGAGCAGCACCGAGGGTTGCAATCCCGTTGC